AATCTCTTAAAAAAGAAAGAACAATTCTGTCCATATGTAATTTTACTATTACAAACTACAGCTCTGTAAACTGACAGTTGTTACGGTGCTCATTTCTATGTTTATCTGTTTTTGTCTTTACATTCTTTTTCACACCTATGTTTTTCTTTTCTAGTTGCTTCTGAAATCAGAAAGTCAATGCAGGGTTGTAGTATTGATGGGCTCAACTTCTGATCTTGGTCACTGTGAAAAAATCAGGAAAGCATGTGGAAATCTTGGCATTCCCTGTGAACTCCGGGTAACATCTGCCCACAAAGGGCCAGATGAAACTCTGAGGATTAAAGCTGAGTATGAAGGTAATCTTCCCGATCTTCAGATAACTAAAGCACTTTAGGCATTTCTGGATTTGTTCCCAAGATCATGTTTTAGACTAGTAATGCCGAGAAAGAACCTTGCCACACTTTTGAGGAGAAACCATGTGATATGCTAAGCTTTTATGATACCTCCAAAGACCGTAAGGTATGCTACAAGCTTCTAAAAGAAAGGAGCAGGAGGAAATTGCAATCATGGAAGGAAAACAGACTGGACTTAGGAGAATCCCTGGCATGTGAACCTCATGGAAAGCTCCTTGAGCATTGTTTCTAATACGCTTCTCCAGAAAGTCTTCCCCCATCAGTTACAGGGGCCTGGGTTTAAATGGCAGATCTTTTCAGGTATCTTTCATGGCCAGCCTTTCTTGGGAGTCAGTCAAGTAGAAAATTAAGGAATAATTTCAATATTTAGTACATAGAAGGATGAAGATAGCATTGATTTAAAATAACAAAGCCCTGGGTTCACAAACAAATGTTTCCCAACTGGAAAAAAACGTTCATTTAGATATTCCCTCTAAAGGTAATTGATACAGGAGCATACTTCCTCATTTTGGAAGAAGAATTGGGTAGGCAGGATGCCTCCGACCCGTTTGATAAGCTAAAGAAAAGTAGAACTGCTAGGGATCAGGTCAGCACATGGTGTGATGGTTAAGGCACTGGACTCCTACATGACTATCTGTGGTTCAAGTCCCAGATTTGATGGCTTACTTTCTCACCTTTTCCCTCTGTCAAGCATGTATGCCCTATAGGAAATTAAAAATAATAATCATTAATTTAATTAAGTATTTATAACCTTTTTTAAATTTTAAAAAGGAAAGGTAGAACTCTTTCTCCAGAAAAATACCAATATGTAAAATTTGGGATTGTAGGTTACAAATCTCTCCTTTAGGAAACAGGAATAACTTAAAAGTTTTATCAAAAGAATGAACTGTAAGAGCCATGCTTAAAGATAGATTGAAGGGTCTTAAAACATGTGAGTACTCTGTTTCATGGGGTGGGTAGGGAAGTGGTTCTTGTTTGTTTGTTTGGCAGGATCTGGCCATGTGATGGTCTTTCTGCCCCAGCCTCCCAGTTAGATCGGTGGCAGGCAGGCACCTCTGCTTTGATGGGTTTGGGAATTGAACCTGGACCTCCTGTGTTGCCCAGTCTCACACAGCAACACCCTGCCAATTATGTCACTGTGGCTGGGCCTTAATACTATGTTATTAAACTTGTTTTCAACTCTTGTTTCAAGAAATGCCCCTAGACAGCTAGGCTTTATTAACTGGTCTTTCTATTCCCCATTGGTTACCAGAACACGCAACAGGCAAGACTTCTGTTTGGTTATTGTCACCCTTCATTTCACTGAGCTTGTGCAGCAGCTGTGGAAGAAACCTGTGAGCCAATCCCTCACTGCCACCTTACTATCACCTTCATCTGTATACCTGTCCTATGACTTCATTACTTGACTTATGGAAAGTGGCATAGTGAACTTATATTTTGCATGTACATTTAATAATAGTGTCTTATTTTTGAATTTTCCAGAGAACACTCAAGAAATTAAGACATAGAGGCCATATTTTTTTTTAATTATTTTATTGAATTTTATTTACTTTTTTAAATTTGACCAGAGTGGGATAGGGAGAAAAAGAAAGTAAGAAAGCAAACCACCAGGTACAGGACTCGAACTGTAGTCAGCCATGTGGGAGTCCAGCACCCTTAACCACCTACCACCTGCCAGCCCCAGGCCTTACTTTCTGTTAACTAATTTTAAAATCTGATAATCATCGTAATTTCCCAGGGGATGGCATTCCTACGGTGTTTGTGGCAGTGGCTGGCAGAAGCAATGGCTTGGGACCAGTGATGTCCGGTAATACTGCATATCCAGTTATCAACTGCCCTCCCCTCACACCAGACTGGGGAGCTCAGGACGTGTGGTCTTCTCTTCGACTACCCAGTGGTAAGTTAAGCTGAGTTTTTTTTTAAAAAAACTATTCCAAACATTTCAGTGATTCACAGTAGTACCAAAAATAGGGAAGCGAAATCTACATACCTGTTACCTAACTCCTGCAATTTGCATCTTAACTGCAACTATGGCCCCCCTCCTTCAGGATTGTTTTAAAGCAGATCTTTGCTACTCGAGTATTTTATACTTGAATATTTAAGTATGCATTTCTGTGATAAGGACTCTAGTTTCTAAATCATAGTTTTGATAATACCATATTCAGACCTAAGGAATCTTTCTTTTCTTTCTTTTTTTTTTTTTTTCCCATAAGGCATTAGTGCTTTCAAGAATGACAAAGAAAGGGAAGATGAAAAATCACCCCCTAGGAGGGATGGCCAAACCACCTTTCCTTTTCCATTCTTCTCTTGGGACTTTGGGCATGCAAACTCATGTGCCTGGCTTATAAGCTGCCAGGTCCAGGATTCAAACCACAGAATTGGCCACGTGGGATCCAGCTGCTTTAACCCCTATGCCACCTGGCTGGCCCTGTATTTAGTGTATTTAAGTGAATATGATTATGTTACTGAAAGAAAATCTTTTAGAAATTAAGTATCAAAATAACACAAAAGGAAGTCATATCTATTGATGGTTGGAGCTGGATCGCTTAGAATAACGGTACTGTGTTTTGGTCCTCATAGTCCAAGATATGATCTCACCTTCGGCAGGTCTTAAGAATCGATATTATCCAGTAGGAGTTGATTTGCTTATTATTAGAACCCCAGATTTTTCTCACAGTTGCGTAAATCCACTGTTGACATGTGTCAGGTACGTGAAGTATTTGAGCCCACCAGCCTGGTTCAGTATAACTGGCTTTCTACCTATGCCTGCCACATGGCTGTGGTCTTAGAGTCACCCTTTACGACAGTTTCCAAGGTTCGTTTGCCTCTGTATCTTGTATGTCCTATTTCTTAGGTCTCACATTGTCCCCTTTCTTGGTTCACTTATTTTGTTCGAGGACATTCTTTGTTGACTTTCTGAGAACTAGATTTCTAGGTTGAAAAATCACTTTTTCTCAGAATTTTGAAAGCATTATTGTCTTTTAGCATTCCAGAGTTGGTGAAAAGTCTGGCTCCTTTCCACCATTCTGACTCTAGGTCCTTTCTGAATTTTTTCTTTCTGGGAACTTTTAGAGTCTTTTCTCTGTTCTCAGTGTTCTTAAATTTCACCCAGATGTGAGTTGATGGCTGTTGTCATGGACTTTCAGTGGGTACCTTTAATGTGGCGTTCCATTTCCTTACTCCTGGGGGATCATCTTTAATTATGTCATTTCTTTACCTTTCCATTTTCTCTTTCTCTCATTTTTTGATTTATTATTCATCTTTGGATCCCATGATTTCTATTTTCGTTCTCGTTGCTGTACTTTCTGGAATACTATATGCTATGTGCTGAGCAAAAATTTGGCTGTTTTTCTCTACTTCTGTTGAAGGAGAGAGAATCCGAAGATTTGTATGTTCTGATCACTGGTATTGGGAATACTCTTTTGAGAAACAATTATACCATGGCCTGTGTAAGATCCTGAAAAAGTCTTGTTTCTCTTTTTCTGATTCCATGCTCACTAGCTAACCTACATTTTTAATATCAGTTAAGCTCTTCTAATGTCAGAAAAGGGGTCCTGGGCAGTAGGCACAGGTATTTCAAGTGTTCTAGTGGAACAAGCCCCTCAGTATGCTAGTAATAATGGTTGGCATTCAATCTATTAAGTTGACAGCGTATTTGTATACTAGTCTGTGTTGTGGATAGTGAGAGAAAAAGAGCCTGGTGAATTCTAAGAGTACTGGGAAAATGGAGCTCTGGGATCTGTGAGCCAGCGAGTCCTGGACTCGTGATCCTAGACATGCTAGTACTATCTCAGAGACCACCTGGGCAGACACCCCTTCTCGTGCCCTTCTAAGGCTGCCGCAGTGCTTCAAGAGTCTAACATAGAAGGTTAAAGCAAGACTCCATAAAACTCAGAGAAGAGACTGTAAAACTCCTCTGGAACCTGTCTGGAGTCACAACTGAAAGAAAAAAAGAAATTACCTAAGCAGATGTGTGACCCCCAAGGGTGCTACTTTTTTAGTCTATTGCCTTTCAATAGACTATTGAATTTATTTATAACTCAGCATACTAAAATTGTAATTCTGATCTCTTGCAAGTGCACACACCCTATGGTAAAAGCCTGCTTAAAAGGTTATAATAGTTTGTGCAAAGACAAATCAAAACAATATACCTGAAGTTATTTTAAAACACGTGCTTCTCTCTCAACTTGATACTATTTATTTATTTATTTATTGGAGAGGTTTTTGCTATAGGGCATGCGTGCTCACCAGAAAGACAGAGACAGAAAGCGAGAAATCACCCCCTGGGGGGATGGCCACGCTGCAATCCCCTCTCTGTTCTTGGGATCTTGGGCACACAGGCATGTGCACCCGGCGTGAGATTAAGCCACCAGGTCTGGGACTGGAACCATGGTCGACTACATGGGAGTCCAGTAACGTAGCCATTCCCCAGATACTTTTTTTTTTTAATTTGTTACACTTCTTTTTTTTTTTTTTCAGGTTTTTGCCATAGTGTGCATGCACTCGCCAGACAGACTGAGAGAGGGAAAGTGAGGCATTATCCTCCAGGGGGGTAGTAATCTCCATTCTTCTCGGGATTTGGGGCACACAAGCCCAGTATGATTTGCAAGCCACTGAGTCTGGGACTAGAACTGTAATTGGCCATCCCTAATTCGTCGTGTCGGAGTGCAGCACCTTAACCACCATGTCATCTGCTTGCCCCTCTTGTTTCACATTTTAACTTTTACTACTTTATTTACTTCTGTTGTTTGACTTCTGTCATAAGAATTTAAATGGATAACATAATGTGAAAAGAGTTTTTAAAAGGTAAACAACTTTGCAGTGGATTTATTGTGCAAGGTGATAAGATGATGTATATAAGAAATTATTTATCATGGCAGATAAATAAGTAACTGCTTTGTCTTAGAATAACTTTTCTAGCAGTAAAGAAAATTCTTGCACAGATCCTACTTTGGCAAGGATAATATGGTAACCTTTTACTGTCTGGAGCTAAAAGGCTTTCTCTGAGTTTAAAATGCCTTGCAAAGTTGTATTTGCATTACTAAATGACAGCTCAATTTTCTGTTTTCTTTTCTGAACTAATAGGACTCGGCTGTTCAACCATACTTTCTCCAGAAGGATCAGCTCAGTTTGCGGCTCAGATATTCGGATTAAACAACCACCTGGTATGGGGCAAGCTGCGAGCAAGCATATTGAACACCTGGATTTCCTTGAAGCAGGCTGACAAGAAAATCAGAGAATGTAATTTATAAGGAAGAACATCATCACAATTCTTGGGGAGAATATAAATTTCTAGTTTAGCCAAAAAAAAAAAAAAAAATCAAGCAAGATGAATCAATTTTTAAGTTGATCATAGTAATAAAATTTACTAATTACATCTCTAGATTCATGGATTAGTAAATAATCATTCCTATTTATTAGTATTTCCTTGTAGACAGTTAAATTACCATAAGGATATTTTAAAATTAATTTCTTACCATGTAGGTAGGTAACCTATTGACAAAATATGTTTCGTAAATGCTGATCTTGACCTATTATGAAGCTCTGAAATTATAACTTGACCTTTTCTGTATCTCACTAAGTTAAAAAAAGTTAAAATTTTTATAAGTTTAATAATACCTAATGCCTTCAACTAGAAATTGGAAACACTCGTTATTGGACAGGGCTTTGACTAGAATGTCATATCTGAAGATTAAACCAGAAAACTATGGAACTAAAGTAGATCTCAAGTGAGACAACAGAAGCCCTTAGAAATATTTCTTGGCACCAGAAGCAATTCTGCCTGGCATAGAGGATTACGGAAACTATATGAAAGAATTCATACTATAAAATAACCTGGATTTTTCCAGCCCAGCATTGTAATCAGTAGAGACTGCAAAAGAGCAGCCACAACTAGAGGATTACCTTGAGGAAGACTTTGAG